AAATCATCACATTGATGAAGGTCGACTATTGAACGGCGTATATTTGAAAGGCTTTAAAACCAAGTTAGTACAAACATCGCTAATGTCACATAACTTTGCCGACATGTGGCGAACAGTAATGTTTAAATGTTCTTCATTATTAAACATAATATTCAGTACTTACTTTTAAAAGTTTACTCTTCGGGTGCCCTTCGTCTGCCTTTTTTTTCCGGCAAAAATCATCCACGCCACCGCCGCGCTATGCATTCTGGGATATGTTGGGCCACGAAGTCTACACCGCCACATCCTTAAAATTCAGGAAAATGAAGGACGCATTTGAGGGCCGCATTTCGAGCAGCCTTTGAATTGGGACAGCCTTTGTCGCGTTGCTGTGATGTAATCGGCCTTAAAATGAGGCCTTTAAGGCTGCAGACCCTGAATTTGGATACAGCCATAGAGCCTACAGACTCAGCTGTTCACCAGCTAACACCTGTGACTCCACCCAGATGGAGCTTTAGCACCACACCTGCAGAAGCTGCCTGTTCACACCGAGGAATCAGAGCATTTCAAGGTCAGGACCACCTCAAGAACCAGACTGTGATTTATCCCCACTCAGCACCTCACCCACCACACAGCATACAGGAACAGTCTTCCAGTCATCCTGAAGTTTAACTGAGTAAAGTCTGGGACTGTTTGAAGGAGTGTTTTGGCTCTCCAGAGATCATTTAGTGATCTCTCTCTATGACCTCCTCTCCTCTCACCTTCCTGTGCTCCTCATTTCTCCTCCACATCCTCTCTTTTCTTCCACCCACTGCTTTCCCACCTGTCTGAACACCTGTGTTGTAAACTGACCAAAGATGAACCCGAGTCTGACCTTTAACCTTTGACCTCACCAACTGAAGAGAACTTTTCTTCTTCTTCAGTTGAATAGAAGAATCAAACAGTGATGTCACAATAATCCATCAGTCTGTTTTGGCCCTGCTCTCTTAAACTTACTGCACTACACTCTTTATGGAAACACATCATTTCCTGTGTGAATTTCAAATTAAAAGCACTCTAACATGTCAGTGGACACAAACGCTTCCTTTCTGAGGGTCTGCATGGGTCACAAAGAGCTCTTTGTGATCTTGAAGCTTTTCAATAGTTTTTCTTTGGCTGTTTGTAAAGTTTTCTGTGTGAACTCTCAGGAATCTGGAGCAGTCTAATAGAAGTCTACTGGGGTACAGAGGGAGGAGCTTCTGTCAGACTCTTTCTGATGAGGAACTGAAGCCGCTCTCATGGTCTCATCAAATCATCAGACTCTGCTGAGAACAACAGTCATGTGACCTCTCAGAACAAACAGCCTGTTAGTTTCCTGCTGCCTCCATCACTCACTTTCATTCACTCTCAATCACACCAACATGTTAAAGCAGCGCTATAGCTCACCTGGCTGAGCAGGTGGGCTGAAGGCGGGGCTTACTACAGGTGCCTGTGTGTCCCTCACTCTCTCCCCACTTTCCTGTCTACTCTCTGCACCTATATAATAAAGGCAAACATGCCTCCAATAGAAACCTTTGCAAATACAAAGTCCCACAGCAGCCCCGTGTTCTCCGGCTAAAATGAGAGTTTTTGTCAGTGGAGTCTGGTGGCTTTAACCACACAAACATTACAGCTGCGCTCAAATATCACAAAGAGCTGTGACAGCAGAGAAACACATGACCATCCTCCAAATATCATCTAGAAATAGAAATGTGTCCACTGTGGGACGTGTGAGGCTGACATTAATATGTCTTAAAGTGGGAGATGAAGAAATGACTCCAGGGCCCAAATCATGGAGACAAACATCAATCCACACTTTTCCTGTCTCTAAAGTGGGAATATTTCAGTGTGATGAACAAACGGCCTCCAACAAATGAAGCTGATTTCCTTTTCCTGTCTTTTCTCCAGCGGCCTCAGCTTCTTCCTCTTTCCCCTGTCTTCTTCTGCAGACGCTCCTCTGTAGCTTCAAGCTGTTTCTCTTTACAAGGAGAGCTACAAACCTTTGCATCCAGCCACAAACACCCCATGGGCTCCTCTGGATCATCACACTCAGCACTTTCACAATAAAAGCCTCGTATTTATGGCTGCTCCACCCTGACATGTGACAACATCCAAATGACTGGATCAAAGTGTTTGAATGATCTCAGCAGCTTTAAAACTATTGATATTTATACATTTACACTGATTTGGACTAAACTAACAAAACTATTGATTTGATCCAAACTCACATCATGCCAGAGGCTTTTATTTTGAAGTTAGGATCATTTTAATGCTCTTCTTAGTTCATTTAAACACGCAGTTGCTCCGCCTGACATTTTTGGCTTTTAGATCAAAACATCAAAGAATTTATTTTATTTGAATGAACTGAAAATAGATTCAAACTAAAAGCTTTTAGAGAATAAACTCCTGCATAACCTCTGACCTTTGACCTGTGTCTACAGCACTGACCTCTGACTTTCAGCTGCACTTGTTTCTTCAGCAGGATGTTTCCCTCCCTGCTGTAGACGGTGCAGGTGTAGGTGTAGTTGTCTCCATCTGTGGGGTTTTTCAGAGTCAGACTGAGGTCTCCAGTTTTCAGCGGGCATTCATTCATCTGTGTTTTATCTCTATAATCCTCATCCTGTTCTTCATGCTGGTCAGATCCGTTCTCATACACGTGGACTGTTTCCTCTTCATCATCCATCCACTCCACTTTAGCGCCTTCAGGCAGGTGAAGTGTGGTGTTGAAGGGCAGCTGCACAGACTCCACCCCTGAATCCACCTCCACCTGGGGGACTGAGAGGACAACAAAGTAAGAAACACAGTCTGAGTGTTTCTGTCACACTCACTTCATCACACAGCTCAGTTTGACAACATGTGGAAGAATTTGATAGAAGCCTTCCTTTAGTAAAAGCACCAAGAAAACACCATGAAAACACCTCACTACACACAAAACTGCAGTACTGGCAAATTGTACATAAAGTATGAAAAGTCAAAGTACTCATTGTGCAGAAAAATGTTCCCATCAGTGTCTGTGGATCAATATTACTGCTGCACATGTTTAAGGCTGAGCTCATTTCAAATCCTTTCTATTGTGTTGAATCTGCAGTAATGCATCATATTCTATAAAATCATATGTTTGTAGTGGCTGTCCTGTGAGGACCACGTCTCTCTAAACAAACAGCTGTTAATGAGCTCACAAACACAGGCCTACAGCTGGATTTGAAAAAGTCCATTCAATAGAAAATCAACAGTCACAGCTGGATTCAAAGGCTTGAGCTCTGTGTGACATGGTTACCTGTCAGCATCTACAGGGGGATTCAAATATGAAGGAAACATGAAGGTGGTGCATTAGAAAAACTGCTGCTTTCAAGCAGAGCAACAAACTGTTTGAACTGATCCAACTTTATTAACACAGACAAAGATTTGTGCATCAGCTGCTGTTTGCTGCTATAGATATAATCCAGCTGATGTGGAGAACTACATGTGACACTGTGATGCAGCCATGAATCTGACTGATTTCTTTCCATTTTCAAAGGTTGATGCATCAGTTAAAGTCCTTAAAAAGCTCAGAAATGAAGAGAAAGGTTGGTTAAAGCAAAGAGAGGCACTGGCAGCATTTAAGACACTAAACAAGAGAAACAGATCAGAGAACATCAGACTGAATAAATGGAATAAAGTGAAACAGAGAACTAACGCTCCCTAAGAATGGAGCTGTCAGAGGAAGAGAGCAGCAAACTGAAAGTCTCTGTTAGCTGCAGAGCTCTGAAATTTCACACAGCTTTGGATGATAACATGGAGAAAGGATGTGGAGATGTTCACACTTCTGCTAGAAATCATCTTCTAGTTATTGTGACTCAGATATGACTGATTATAGATGAGGACCAAAGAAGGTTGTTACTGAGATTTGAGCTGACTTAGCTTAGCCTGTGTTTTAGCCACATGCTAAACAAACACATGTTCAGAAACTAGAAGATGTTACCTTTCAGATGAAGTCTCACACATGAACTTTGCTCCTACTGTTCATCTGCTGAAGCTTTTACATTTGGCTGGAAATCAAAGATAAACCAAAACAGCCACAAACATCAGACATGCTAACACTGTGACATTATTGGATGGAGCCACTGAGACTGAAACACCATCATCAGTCTGACCTTTGACCTGGATCTACAGCACTGACCTCTGACTTTCAGCTCCACTTTTCTCTTCAGCAGGATGTTTCCCTCCCTGCTGTAGACGGTGCAGGTATAGGTGGAGTTGTCTCCATCTGTGGGGTGTTTCAGGGTCAGACTGAGGTCTCCAGGTTCCAGTAAGTTTCTCTTCATCTTTGTTCGGTTCTTGTATTTATCGTCCTGTTCTTCAGGCTGGTCAGAGCCGTTCTCATACACGTGGACTGTTTCCTCTTCATCATCCTTCCACTCCACTTTAGCATCTTTAGGCAGCCAAACTGTGGTTTTTAAGGTCAGCTGGACAGACTCCACCCCTGAATCCACCTCCACCCAGCGAACTGAGAGGACAACAAAGCACAACATGAGCTGTAGTGAAGGTTACTAATGTTCTCCTTATGACCTGTTACAGAGGACTTATTTCTGTGCTTGTCCTGTTAGACCTCAGTGTAGACCACAACAGTTTACTGCAAACACACCAGAGTTATTAAAGGGAATTTACTGCAGTGGTTTGAATCACATCTGCACAACATTTTACTACAAACACTAAAACACACCAGAGTTATTAAAGGAAATTTACTGCAGTGGTTTGAATCACATCTGATAGATTCCAGTTTGTTTATGTAAATGAGGAGTTTTCTTCACATAGAAAACTTTGGCGTGGACTTCTACAGAAAGGTCACCATTTCTGCTGACATTATACTTGGTTTTCTACAACATAATGTAAACTTATTATATATTATTCACATTTCTGTTCACTTGTATTGGTTGTTTTCATTGTAACTTCTGCTGCCCTCCGCTGGTCTCTCTTGTAAAAGAGATTTTAATCCCAGTGAGACTTTTACGTGCATAAATAAAGTACACATGCAGCCTCTGTGTCAGATCAATGCAGTGAAGCACACACACTGTTTAGTAAAGTCATGTTGTGGAGCTGTTTCACTGATCAATGACTGAGTCTGAAGGAGGTTTTCTGACTTCTGGAACAAACCTGGAAGTTTCTCTTCAGCTCTCTGTATCAGCTGTTTGTAACTCTCAACTCTTTCAGCTTCTGGAACAAGTTTGTGTGAGCCGCAGTCAAGGAGCCACCAGAGGACACCTGCTGAACATCGGCATTATGGGTAGTGTAGTAGGAGACACTCACCTGACATGAAATAGTGACGGAAATAATATATGAGACCTCCAGAAACCACAAGAAGAACCAGGAGAACCAGGAGAGCTTTGGCCCAGGATGGAAATGGTTCTGTGGAGAAACATAAAACGATATCAACATGACTGCTGAACATTGACCTCAATTTCCTCCACTAACACCTGGTGTTTTTCTACATCTCTGACCTTTGACCTGCAGCACTACTTTGTGTCTCAGGATGTCTTTGTCCCTGTAGATGGTGCAGATGTATCCTCCACTGTCTCTCTCTGTGGGGTATTTCAGGGTCAGACTGAGGTCTCCAGTTCTCAGCAGGTCTTTGTTCACTGTTGTTCGGTCTCTGTAAAAACTGTCCTGGTCATCCAGGTGGTTACTTTTGTTTGGATACACATGAACCACCATCAGTTCAGGGTCAGAGTGAGTCCACTCCACTCTCGTGTCCTGAGGCAGGTCAGCTGTAGTTTTGCAGGGCAGAATGACAGACTCTGAGCCTTCCTCCACCTCCACCTCCACCTGGTGGTCTGAGAGGACAATAAACCACAGTATCAGGTGTAGAAGCAGCAGCAGTCACACTGATGGTAACTGAAGCACGGCTGAGTATCTACACAGCAAATCTCTGGAGTTAAATATCCTGGAGTTTATTTTTCACCTTATACTACAGTCAGTGTTGGGGAGTACTCTAAGTGGTGTAATATTTAGGTGTTCATTCACTGGGTGCTAAGGAGTCTAATTCAACACATTGCTGGTGTTGTTTGTCTGTCGACCGTTACCGCGTCTATCTGTGTTTCTTTCTTGGACTCCGACATGTAGGAGGTAAAAATACTTTATTTACTTTGGGATTTTCTGAGAGTGTAGTGATGTTATTTGTATATATTTGGTTGCATGTATGCATAAGTAAAATCTAAAGTTAACTAACTAGCACTACATGTGTTTTCTGTATGTTATGCTGATTTGGAGATAGCAGCTAGGCTAACGCTAGTCAAAAGTTAGCTAACTAACTTATCTTACTGTATTTTAAGATACACATTTCATGTTGTCAATGAAAACGTTTATTTCTATTTCTTAATTTTAACACCAACGTTTAATTTAACGTTAGCTAACTACAGTAATATTCTGTTTAGACTCATGGTAATGGCCGTATTTAACCAACGAGAGGTGCAGCCTGCACTGATGAGATGTTGAGGTACCATTAACATCAGTTAGTTAGTCCTGCTGCACACTGAGATATGCACACAACCCTGTCTGCAGAACTGTAAAGACAAGGACACAGCAAACATGCGGTCACATAGTCTGCTAAACCAGCCTAGCTAAATAGATTTTAAGCAATATTTAGTGTGGACAGGCTAGCTCAATGTAAGAAAGTGTTTATTGATTAAGTTATACACAGTTTACATAAAGTTACCATATACAACCTCTTCTTCTTGTGTTGTGTTTCACATTAGTAAAGGTCGTTTTTTTTCGTGGGTGGCCAAGATGTTGATAAAAGTAAAACACAGAGAGACAAAGAAATATGCAAAATTGGAAGAAGTCAGCTTCACAGATTTTGTGAGAGCAGGTAAGTTATGGTTTGTACTAAGTCATTAAAGAGGAAATGATAATGTTGTTAGTAACCGAGTGATGATTTTACTTCAGTGCAGCAGAAGTTTCTCATACCAGAAAATGCAGCACTGAAAGTCACAGATGAGCAGGGTATAGAGGTGGATGAGGATGTCTTTCCTGCACTTGCAGCAGGCAAAGAGGTGTGTTTGTCATCTATACAGCTGAAGGTAAGTAAATATATGCTCTGATAGATTTTGAAGGATTCGATTTGTACATCCATCCATCCATCCATCTTCATCCGCTTATCCGAGGTCGGGTCGCGGGGGTAGCAGCCTAAGCAAAGGTCTACCACGATAAGGTAGCGATTCAAGGAGGAGCGATTTGTACAGTTACTCTTAAATAAACATTTTTAATTTGTCTAATATCCTGTGGTAACAACAGTAAGTTGGATTTATCACATGCATTTCAGACATCCTGGAAACACAATCATCCAAGAAGCTGCGCGACTACTCACACCTAACACACTATGTGACACTCACACCTTGTGGTATGTAAATTGTATATTACCATAATAAAATACAAGATAACCATCTGTTCTCCTGGGAGAAAGTATACTTTAATCAAAGCGTGCAGTTTACTGGCCCTGTGTGCATAAATGGCATCTTTGTTGTGTTGTGTTTTTGATTGTAGATACCTTATATTCTAATATTTTTATTTGTCACCCTCAGATTTGACTGTCCTGAAGCAACATGTGGAAGAGTCCTCCTCTCCAAGTCTAACAGATACATTTTCTGTCTCAACCACCAGCAGTCAGAGCAGTAACACAAGTGATGCCGGACTTCAAACGGTTCAACCTCTATTGGACAGCATACATGAAAGAAATGTAGATACGGTACTTAATTGACTTATACTTGACTCTTTAGTTGCCATTGAGCTATAGTCAAAATCTCTACCATTGGCCAAATTCATATTGTTTCTATCTATAGCCCTATAAGCGTAAAAACTATAATCTCTATCAAAAAAGGAAAGTTTGGAGTCTAACCTTAGAAGTAGAGAGGGTGTCTGGGATCTTTTGCTTTTACTCTTGAATGGTTTCATAAAATATTCACTGGATCTTTCTCTGGGACAGCCAGTCCACTGAAAAAGATGCTTTCTATTTAGTTTTTTACAAATGTCTCTCAAATGAGTAAATGCTTTGTTTGTGTATAATGAACTTGCAGGAAAGTCTATCGAAACTATTTCAAGTGTTTCCGTCAGGCAGCAGCTGTCTGAGATGATGGTTGATAAATGTAACAGATAAAAACTTAAGCAGAACAATATCAAAATATAAACATCAGTCCTACAGTTTTATGCCATTAACTCTGCAGTCCCCTCGCTGTTACCTGAACCCCGCTATGATTTGCACTACATATCCTAACAGCAGTTATTAACCTGAGAGTCTCAGTGACATCAGGACCAGCTGGATGAAACATGATGAACCGTCTCTGCTCTGTCTGCGTTTCATAGCAGCTCCTCCAGTCTTAGTCTGTACAACATCAGGACACTTCCTGCTGCTCTGTGAGCTGCAGTGAGGCTTAGAGAGCTCATGCTCTCCACTGTGTACAGTGTGTAAATGTTGCGAGTGTAACCCTGCACATGCAGTAAAGACTGCAGCTGTTGTAGCAGAGACATCCTGTTTGCACTGAGGTTAGCTCTGAGCTACATGTTGCTGCTGGTTTTTCAGGTTAGTCACAACAATTTACAAAACTTCAGTTTGACCTCTTACTCTGAGATGTCACATAGATAACAGGCTCCATGTGGAGTCTCTAACCCACCCAGAGTTCTGACTGACCTTTGACCTGCAGCTGTATATCTCTCAGTCGCAGTTCTTCTCTCCCATTACTGATGGAGCAGGTGTAGCTGCCACTGTCAGTCTTTGTTGGTTTTCTCAGAGTGAGGCTGAAGTCTAAAGTGTCCAGAGCATCAGACCTCATTGATGTGCGCCCGCTGTAACGCTGGTTTTGCCCTGTAAGATCGTCTCCTTCTCGTCGTAGATGGACAGATTTGGGATCAAGATCAGAGCGAGTCCACATCACTGTGGGATCATCAGGTATAAAATCTGAGTACTGACAGGGAAGCAGGACAGATCTTTCCCCCTCATTCACCTCCACCACCACAGCCGGGGCATGCTGGGAAACTGAGGACACATAAACACAAATTATCTGCATGCAGTGGGTTTGTCTCAGAGCCCACATTTATCAGCAGGACACAGAGACCAGTTTTATAGTCAGACACTCAAATTGAATGCATTTATTTATTAAATCTGAACATTTAATCTGTGAACACCTGACAGATTAAACTGAGTGTGTCTGTGCTCATGAACCAGCCTCAGTTTGGTGCATTTTACTGAGTTTACAGAAAATGTTGGAAAATGTGACTCTTCCTGGTCTTTATTTTCTAAGCACTTCCTTTAAACTCTGCTGTATCTTCATCTTTGTTAAATGTTTTGGAGGACCTGAAGGTTTTCTGCTCCCTCTGAAGAGTTCACTGTGACAGTCATAACTATTTATTTAATTAATTAATTCCAATTGTAATTAATTATTGCCACATTTAATTAATTATTTAATGGTGTATTTAATTAATTCATTATGGCAGTCCTGGCATTCCATACATCAGCACGATATAAAATACAGACTTACAATAACGCTATTTTATATTTCACCTGAAGTTGGCAGTAGACTTATAGCCACACTATCTAGGCGTGACCCTTGTGCTTATCCTTTTTAAGCCCATTTCTAAAATGGCAAGTGTAACTAAAAAAAGGAAAGCTGGCAGCGAGGGCTGTCACTTCCAGGATATGTGGAAATTGTTGTACTTTTTCACTGAAATACAAAACAACTGTGTCGGCCTAATCTGCCAAGAGACTGTGGCTATTTTCAAGAAATATTAACCCTTTAAGACTTACCATAGACCCAAGTCCGCCAGAGCTTATATTATATTTTTACATGCTGTGGAGCCATTTTTGGGAGCATTTCAAGTTGCTATACATCAATACAACCCTTATAGCCCAAACTTTAATAATATGTCTGCATTAAGTGCATAGTAATTACATAAATTGCAAAAAAGTGCAATAAACTACAAAAAAATTGAAAATTGTTTTTGTTTTTTTAACATATATTTCTAGTTAGAGAAATTTAAGAGGCTTATCCCTCAAAACTGTAAATACAAAAAAGTTGCACAAAATAGTTTCCTACCTCATGATTTCCTGAGGTCAGATGGCCCAGGATGTGAGTGGGCCTTCCCAGACGCCCACTCACATCCTGGGCCATCTGACCTCAGGAAATCACATGATAGGGTGGGGCCAGGTTTCACAATGAGCTCAAAACCCTGGCTGATTGTGACCCACACCCGCTTTCACACCTTGGCTCATGTGATTAGGTAGAGGATCATCAGGGGTCCTTTGTCCCTCTTTGGGGGGAAACTCCCACTGGGTTTAAATCTGGGACTTTCCACCATTTGACCTTAGAACTGAAGAAGCTTCTCGGATGAGAGGTGAAACGTCTTCATTTTTCTTTCCAAGCTCCTTAGACTACGATGGCCTGGGTGACTGAGAACCTTCACAGACATTGCTCAATAATATTAATTTTTTGAGAGGAGTGGACAATGAAATGAACGTGAGTGAAGAGATACTTGACCCCCAGAGCCTTAAGAACCAAACAAGAGGATTTATTTGCTACTGTTTGTTCCGCTATAGATGACATGAAACTACCGTGGAGTAAAGTAGCAGCTCCACAGACCCTTCAGCTACACCCTGCCCTCAGTTCACAATGAGATCCTCTGTTCGTATTTGTTAATAGAGCTGAACTGAAAACTTTTACATTAGTTTGTTGCTCCACTCTGTCATGGTCAGTGTAAAATTAAGCAGTAAAACAAGGACACACATGAAACCGTCTCTGTGTTCAGGATACAGTCAGCTGTGGTTAATCTGGATGAACTGGTCCTTTAAACAGACCAGAGGCAGAGACAACAGCGTGTATCTGACAGGAAGTTTAACCACACAGTAATTAATGGATATGATCGCTGTTACCATGGTTTCATAGTCATTAATGTTCAGAGAGGTCTCACTCACTCTTTATGATAAACATCCATGGCAGAAATAATCAGTCTGTCAAACTGAGTCTGTGACAGCTCAGGAGATCCTGACCCCTCCTCTCTGTGCTCCAACTGATTTATACCTTTAAATAATTAATACAGTTTAATAAAGGGACTCTAATGAGATGTGTCCTCTCTCTTTATGTTACCTTTATCATACTTGTATCCCGCTGATGAAACTAGCTGCTCATCTTAACTGATGTTTGGAGTTTATGTGAGGGTTTTAATTTGCTTTGTCTTGTTATCACTTGCAGATGTTAGTGTCAGTGGGATGCAGATTATATGCAAATGACATTCAAGACTCAGCAGAGAAGCCCCGCCTCTCAGCCCCTCTCACACACAGTCAAAGAAAACAGGATTTAAACTGAAAAGCAAAAAGTGAAAAAAGAAAACTGAGTAAACAAATCTGTTTAAGGCTATGATCTTTTTAATGCTTGTATTTTATCTTTCCCTTAGGTTAATTGCTGAATTCTAAATTGCCCTTAGGTCTGAGTGTGAACGGTTGTCTGTCTCTGTGTTAGCCCAGCGTCAGGCTGGCAACCTAGAAAGGGTGTACCCTGCCTCTCTCCCTGTGGTAGCTGGGAAAGGATAAGCAGTCAAAGACTCATTGTTTTTGCAGCATATCCAGCTGTAGAACATGATAGAACATGGACCAGAAGGTTCTCAGTGGAACACATTTCTGACTGAGGATGGATCTTAACAGGGTAACACAGAAACATCAGCTGTGCCATGTAGGTAAGAATTACGAGAAAAAAGACCAGCTGATCCTTCTAAACAGAACTTTGCAGTCAATCCATCCAGTTTCCATGCAGATCATGGACATAAAGCAGCTCCAGGATGAAGAGTGTGAAAGAACTTCTTCCACTACAGTATTCATTACAGCACTGTGGCACTCCACAAACCCTCACACTGTCTCAATCCCTGTTTCCAGTTTGACTGAGAGAAGGCCTGAAGCTCAGCCAATCACAGGACAGGAAGTGATCAGCTGACACAGTGATTTGAAGCTGTCAGGGTGCGGCTGCTTCATGCAGGTGTGAAACTATGAGGAAGCTGAACGCCTCCTCTTTCCTCAGAAGTGATCTGTGGCAGTCTGCCATCATGTTTGGCTGCTCACACTAAATGTGACTCACTGAAAAGTGCAGGATAAGCAGGTTAGTTTGCTGTACTGTGATGGATTTAAAGTAAAGAACAGTGTGTGACTGATCCACCGTGGCTGTGGATTCATAGTCAAAGTTAGCTTACATCAAGTGTAGCAGAGATTCATTTGAACTTTAGTTGATGATGCTGAGATTCACTGACTGAATTCCACCTTCATACCAACTTTGTACCATCTAGTAAACAGACAGAATAAACGGTGTACTGTCAGTGTAGAGAATGAAATCAGCCAGGACAACTCATGAAACATCTGCTCACATCTGGTTGAATTCAGTTTGTACATACACAAAGAGCATCAGGTCAGCTGATACCAGCCTGTACACTAAGGAAATCTTCTGGAGCTCTGAATAGAAATTATTGTAAGTCTGATTCTTTTCCCCACACTGAGACATTACAACCAGTTTTAAAGTTCCTCCACCTGCTGAATCCACTTTAACCACTGACTGTACACATTTCACTGTTTAGAGGCAAAATCACCCTCTACAATGTAGCAACAGGAAATAGAAATACAGTTTTATTTTCTTTTGTTTTCTACTTATTCAAGCCAGGTATGATTAGAATAAAAAAATAAAGTTTGTTTCCCATCTACAAACATTATTTTATTATTATGTTAATAAAGCACGAGGTTCAGTTAGCTTTGCACAAACGTCCTCCAAAGAGCTGTTTTTACTTTCTTACTCTGATTACATTTCAGAGCCTCTACTTTTTGACTTTTACTTGAGTAAAGAAGTGGAAACAGTTCTTCAGCTTTACTGGAGTATTTCTAATAGTAGTATTTGTAGTTGTACTTAAGTACTGAATGTCTGTACTTTGCCAACTCTCCTCATCTCCTGATGTGTTTACCTGTCCAAGCGTGCACAAGTGAGGGACCCTCACACTCATGTTTTTCAACCTTCACCTGCTTCTTATTACACTTAATGCTCTGGTCTGTGTTTGATGTGAGACTCACTTATATATTTTTATTGTTTTAATCCACAGCTCAGTTCTGTTAAATTAAACAATCGTTTCCTCCTCTTGCTGTCAGTGTGGTTGCTGAACATGAACTCTGATCTCTGAGCAGCAGACTGAATAGACTATGTGCACCTTAGCATATGCTACTTCCGGTGGGGAAACTCCTGTAGGAGTGCTTTGTTTCCGGTGTGATATTCGCGTCTTTAAAAGTCAACCAAATGACAATAGAGGAAATTGGAGCAACCTGGGGACTTGGAACCATGAGGAATCAAATAATGGCCGACAACCCAACGAGGAACAAAGGAAACACCCACAATAGGGCTACGAGGTGTGGTGGAAGATTTCTTTTCTGATGTATTAATCACATATTTTAATCATATCACTTTAGTAAAGCAAGATCACTCCTGTCACCACTTGTATGTATGCATGTATAATGTTATCACAAGTGGGTTTATTGCACTTTCACAGAGGGCCCATTGTAAAGTTCAAGAGATCCATCCATAGAGTGGCAGGGGGTCAAGGATGAGCTGGACTGGATATATGATGTTCTTTCTTTGAGAGTGTTTGGGAAGGTATAAAAGAGTTTCAGGCCGTGTCAATATTCAGACAACCATTTTGGTGTTTGACCTGAATGTTTTCTCCACTGCTGTGTTTTTCTTTTTAGTAAACCTCCCTTCAAAAGAGATGCTCATCTGGTGGTTGCAATTTTATTAAGATTTTCCACAACAGAGGGAATACACAACAGGAGGGAGACATAGCTGAACATAATCTGACATGATGAACCAAAGGAAGCAAACCTCAAAACACTGAACGTGGGATGCAAGACTGTCTAAATAAAAGAGGAAACAAGAGGCATTTACAAAGACGCAGACTTCACACTGTGATGTGGAGACATGACTGACTAGGGAAACTGATGCAACATGAGAATAACTAAACGTGGGACAGAAAACTAGAAACTAGGAACTATAAATATAACACAAGCAGAAATCAATAAAGAGAACCAAACCTATACTAGAGACATGAAACACTTAACAGCACAGGAACAAAACCTAAGGAGGAGAAATTACCAAAATATATCCAGAAACGAAGCATATTAGTAATCAAAAAACACAAACATGGAGTCACCAGACTCCGGACCTTGGCAAAAACACTAATTATGTAGATTAGGACGGTCACAATATCAGATTACCACATGCCCAAATTATCATGATCACAAGAATTCCTGACAATGTTCTTATCTCAATGTCTGTGCAGAAACAGAAAGAAAATATTAGTCAAATTAAATGTTAAATGTCTT